TATCAATCATACATTTTTTAAAATAAAAAAAAAAGAAATCTAAGCTCAAGCACATTACAACAAAACTGTAACACACACACACACATACACACAGCCAGAAAGAGAGAGAGAATGTGAAAAGCAGTTGGAGAGAAGACACAGGTCACCTACAAAGAATTAGTGATTAGACCAATAGCTGCATTCTGATAGCCACAAGTGATACCAGAAGTGGGTGGAATAATATCTTCGATTTGCTAAGAGAAAATAACTGTCAACCAATAATCCAATACCTAAGAAACCATCTTTCAACCATCTTTCAAGAAGAACAACATCATTTTCAGACAAATAAAAGCACAGCATGCAACCAAATAGTCCTCCTTAAAGAAAACTTTAAGAATGTACTTCAGATATCCTAGCAGGAAGAACCAGATAACAGCGTGATGAGCAAAGATACTGGCAAATACATGGATAAAACTAAACACACACTTTCTGTATAAAAATATTAAATAGTGTGAAATTTGTGTGTGTGATAAGGAAACAAGCTAAAATGCTGGATGAGAATGCCATGTGAATTATGAGCATGTGGTTGGAATTAAAGAATTCTAAGGACCTTGTATTATTTGGGAGGAATATACAGCTATTGATTGACTTCAGACTTTATTATGTTAGCTATGAATGTTAAAGAAAAAGCTATAGACAGGAAGTAGGATAGAGGTTACCAGGGACTAGAGGAGAGAAGAATGGAGAATTATGATCTAATGGGTACAGAGTTTCAGTCTGGGAAGATGAGATAGTTCCCAAGATGGATGGTGGTGATGGTTGCACAACAAAATGAGTGTACGTAACACCACTGAACTGTACACTCAAAACTGATTAAAATGGTAAATGTAATGTTATGTAAATTTGACCGCAATGAGCAAAGGTAAGAAAAAGCTAGGATAACCTTTGAAGAACAGCCATAAAGGATCTAAGTTCCAAACAAGTAGGAGGTTTGAAGCAATGGAATGAAAAATCCTTAAAAATCAAAAGAAAACAGGAAAGGAGGGAAAATTCAAAGGTAGGCACAACTAAACACTGCATTATGTAGGAGGAAATGTATAAATGGTTCAAACCTAGAGAAAATCAGGGGGATGATTAACCCAGAATTCAGGATAGCAGTGAGGAGGGAGAGGTACAGAGTCAGGGAGGGACACACAGTGGCTTTGAGGGCACCGGTCCTGTTATTTTTTAACTAGGAGGTGAGTATACAGATACTCATTCTATTATTTTTATTTAAAATGGCTTCATTTTTTTACTATGTTGTATGTATGAACTATTAATCATGATGTTATAACTTCTTTAAGAAGGAGAGAAATGGTCATTGCAAAGAAGGTTTAAGAATGGGACTTCAGCATTGGGGTCTGTGGCTGGAGGACAATTCAAACCCAGGCGAGTCTGCTGTCCTGTCCCCCCTGGTTCTGCATGGATGGGCACAGCGCCTCTACCCTCTGACCCTATGGCTCTGCATCCATGGTCAGGAAGGGGCTGGCACAGGCCCCCTCACTGGTTTGTGTCATCTCTTTCTCCCACTTGACTTACCTTTTATGATGCCCAACAGCTGGACAACAAGGTTAGCACTCTCTGGGGACCTTGGCCTTCCCTCCGTCTTCAGAGGTTTCACAGTTTCCTCGTGAGATTGGGAAACGGGCAGCTCGGAGGCTCCCCATCTGTCCGGTTACATGGAATGTAACTTTAGTGCATGGACAACAGACAATAGGGAAGACCCCATGTATCTAGCAATTACAATGAACATTCGTGTAATCTGTACAATTGCTCTGCATGCATCGTCTCATTTAACCTTACAGCAACTCGATGAGCTGGGTAGTAGTATTATATTATCCTCATTTACAGGTGAGGAAAGCAAGGCCCAGAGAGGCTAAGAGAGGCTGCACACGTGGTCAGACAGCCGAGAAGTCTTCCCAAGGGGTCAGGCTCCTCTGGATCCTTGTGGGCACTTGTCCAGGGAACCAGACACAAAGAAACCCTTCTTCAGTGGATCCTAAGAAAAAACGCCTCATGTATTCCTAGAAAGCTCAGAGAAATATCCTCATTCTCAGACATTCTCAGAGGGAAAATCCCACCTAGGACTTAGGGTACAAGTCTACAAATTCCACTTTCCCCTCTGAGTAAACAGGCAGTAGGGAGTATGTGAACGAGATGCTGTGACTCTGGGCAAGCCACGACCCACTCTGTGCCTCATTTAAATGGATCAAATGGAGATTACAGTGCACTTACCTCAAGGAATGCATATGCAAATGAAATATCAATACATGTGTAGTTCTTAGAATGGTGCTTGCCATGTAATAAGCACCACTGAAATGCTGGCTATTACCACATTATTGTTACCTACAGTCCAAGTCACACAGTGACTCTTCCTGAGTTTCATTAAGGCTGGCTGCTGGGCTGTCCCCACAGCGCCTGGGGAATGAAGTTCCTGGTTCAGGTTCCAGGGGAAAGCAGTAACCCCGGCAGAGCCAGATGCTGAAGGAGGAAGTTCGGCTGGGGAAGTTGCAAAGACAGTAGCGTCATGGGGCAGTGGAAGTCATCTCCTCCCACTCAGCATGTCCTGTAAGGAGCCCCTGGGCAGATGGCTGGGGACCAGGATGCACAGGGTTGCATTCCCACGATGGTGTCAATAGAGTTGAGTCAGAAAGCACTGCTCAGACATAGCTGCTATATATCATCTGACTAATTGATTCGGACAGCTCTTTGTAGTCTTTCTCAATATTTTGAATGTGTGGGTGTGGTTTTCTTTCCTTTTTCTCCCCCATATCCACTGCACTTGGTCTCTGGGAATCAAAGGATGGTGGGATCCTGACACCAGCGTGGTCCTAGCCACTGGGCTCTGGGAGCATCCGGAAAGCAGTATTCTTCACAGGAGATTCTAGGCTGGCTTGAAGAAGTTCTCATTTCTCTGGTCTGATTACTGAGACTAACTCCTCCATGCCTGACAAACACGGAGTTATTTGCCAAGGTCGACATGGCAATTCAATAACGGACGATGACCCCCTCACTCAGCAACTCCCCAGCACCCTGGGCTTCACAGCTCAGTGGGGGCTGACTCCCAAACGACCCAGGGTCTGGAGAAGTGGGGAGCTCGGGTGAAAGGGCTCTGAGTGCATCCCTGGCAAGGGCGCCTCCTTCATGTTTCAGCCCTAGGCCTAGCGAGATGAAGTGGCAAATCCCTCAGATCTCTCGGTTGGGAACACAGAGCCCTTTATGTCAAGTTTAAGCAGAAAAGGCTTTGAGGTGCCTCTGACAATGTCTTGGAGGGCACGAGGCCAGGCAGAAGCTGTGACAAGGAGGCAGAGCCGCTGTAAGGAGAGACCACTGCTGCCCTGACAGTGGGCCAGGGGCGACCCCGCGCCAGCCTGATGCTGGGCTCGCAGCTCCGCCACCACCGCCTCTGGACGCTCCTACTGCCACCCTCACCAAACTGGTGCCCACTTCCCAAATCATGGGCTCCGAGGCTCCATTCGATTGGTGGACACCTGGTCACACGTCTGTGCTCTAATCGCAAAGGAAGCTGGGAGAGTTTGTTTTGGTTTCTTCTTGCACAGGCTCAAAAGGTGGAGAACATCCTAAACATTAGAAGTGTGTTTGTTGGCAGCCACGAATGATAAATGTTTACATACAATCAGTGACCTAAGAATCACATGACTGAGACACCCCCGCAGAGCCAAGCACACTACCCTGACCGGCTGCCTGGGTCAGAGCCGACCCTACACGCCCACCCGGGTGGGTCTCATCCTGCATCGGGAGTCTGCAGAGCTTAAATCTGCACCCTCATCCTTACCAGGGGCCTTCGCTCCCTGTGTATTCCAGAAGCAATGGTTTCATTATTGCTTTTATGTTTGATTGGGCCTTCTTGGCAAACTCAAATGCCTTCAAGGGCAGGCGGGTAAATTAGTGAGTAAAGTGAGCATAGGGAAGGGCACGCTAGGGGCAGGAGGACCGGAGAAGCAGCCATAGCTTGGCACCAGATGTTTTCTTTGGAAATATGGACCCAGTAACCAGATCCTCTGAAGTGTCCAGAGAAGCCAGAAATCTGGATTTCTTTGCATGAAATTGTTAAAGAACAAAATTCAACTGGGTAAACTTGAAGATCTAACTGGCTTTATTAAGCGGTTCATGAGTCGGGCAGCACCCCATGTAGAGAGCGGCTCCTTGGAGTGGAAGGAGGGTGGGGCAAGAAGTTATCAGGGAAAGAGGGGTCACCTTCCCTTAGAGGGCAGAGTGGAGGGCCTTTCCTTTTCGTGAAGATGACCCCATCTTTGGGGAGGGATGGAGAAGGCGCACTAACAGAGGACCTCATCGGTGCTCACCAGAAAATTCCTGACCGACTACATTTCTCGGGGAGTCTGAAACTGCGTTAGGTTAAGTAGGAAGCCCTGGTTTGGTGACTTGGTCTAGAAAAGTGATCCCATTTGGGGCCTGAGGTTTTCTTTTTAACAAAATCTCCTGACTTTAAAATATTTGATCAAATATTCTTGATCTTAAGAAAAAAATTTTTATTATGACAAACTTCAACCGTATAGAAAATAGTGATAGTATAATGAATATTGACATCCAAACAACACTTGTAGGAGCTAAGGGCAGGCCACCCCCAAAATATGCCATTTTTGGACTGAAGGCAGTCAAGACCCTGTGGGCTCAAGAGAAGCTTCTGTCCCTTCCTTCACTAGCTAGAAAAATCAAACTGGGGTCTTTCCCAGAATAAGGGTTATTACCTAAACATACATTTTTTCTGAATGACCCATCTGTGTATAAGGCAGACATAGAATTCCCAAACACCTGCTCTTCTATTACCCTGGGCACTGCCCTCCTCCCTTTTGAAGCCCCAGGCCCCATCCCATTCCTGAGCTCAGGATGGCACCTGTACCTCATTTTTACCTTTCTGTCTTTGAACCTCTCATGGGTGTGGGATTCCCATATGCACAAAGTTAAATTTTATTTCCTCCTGTTAATCTGTCTCAGGTCCATTTGATTCTTAGAACAGTGAGAACAACTTGAACGGTAGAGGAAAATGTTTCTTCCCTAAGAGTTGGCATAATCGGCGCAGACCATATCTCACTGGACGGTGCTCGCCCTAGAACTGCCGCCGCTGAGGGATTCTGGGATATCTGGCATCGCTGGCAGAAGGTAAGATTTCATATCATGCCACCCTCCTGGAATACCCTGTCTGCAGGGACCCATAGAGCGAGGGTGGTGGAGTCCTTTTTCTCTCTTTGTAAATTTAGATTAACAGGAGAAAATAGTGGTGGAACGAGTCTCCTGGGCTTGGGCACTCTTGGTAAATTTGTCGAGTACTCTTATTTTTTCCCTCCCAGAGACAGTCTTTGAGAATATTCTCTCTGGCCTCTGCCAACCAGAAAATGCATAGCACGGGCATCTGGCAGACAGCCCGAGAGGTTGTGGATCTAATAGTCCACATTCTTTGTCCAGCTGCGCCAGCTCTAGGGGGAGTTGGCACAAGAGGTCCCAGCCCAAAAGGAACTTCTGTCATCTCAGTCTTCATCGCTCATTAGTGCCAGAGAAGTCCGTTCCAGTATCGCCTGCCCGGGGTCATGGATCAGTGGGTCTGTGGATGGAGGCATGTTCTCGTGGAGACCGGAGCCTTCCTACTGTGCAATGAAGGCCTTTGCTTTCTTAAACTACCTTAGGGAGTAAATCTCGGGGGCTTCATCATCTATGCCCTCTAAATATGCCATCTATATACCTTATGGTAAAATTTTATCCTAAGCCTGGAAAGTTACCTTTGAGTCCTTTCCATGAAAAAGCTTATGGTTTGAGAGAGCCTACTTGTCAATGGACAGATGATGGATCCTTTAAATTGGTTATATTTGAGAGAAAAAATTCTTTTTAGAGTTCCCAATGGCTTGTTAGTGTAACAGCCAGCCTTAGGGATTCCCATAACAAGATAAAAGAACAGAAGTTAGACTTAAGACAAAAATTAAATCCAATGTAAATTCCTCTTCTCAGAACCTGGCCCTACCTGCCTGTTTTAACTTCCCTTTTCCCTATAAGACGTATAAAGAACACTCCCGCCCGATCCCCAGGCCTAGAGTACACAGGTTACTCGTGTAAACGCTCCGAGTCAGGGAGTGAATGCAGCAGAAGCACCAGGGGCAGGCGCAGGGTTTGTCCTTTGGGGATATACCTAGACCCCCACCCAAAGGTTTCATGTCCCCTGGGCAGCAGTGGATCTTTCCAGAAGATCCTATGAAATTTAGAGAAGTGTTAAAAAGATCAGTGGTCATCCGCAAATCCCCTCCACCCTGCCCAGAGGAAACAGATGGCCAGGTTTTCTCCTCGGTCCTCCTGCCAACGATCCGCTGGAGGCTGATGTTCGGGGGCAGGTAGAAGAGGAAGATCAAATACCACGACGGCCCCCCTTTCCCGATCAGACCCACCGGTTATCGATCCTTCCCCTCCCGGAGCAGCTGCCGGCTCCTTGCCGGCCTCCTCTCGCATCCTAAGAAGTGGGCTTGGTTCTCCGTCTGCCTGGGGATCCCTGTCGGTTCTTCCTTTTGGCCACGTGGGAGGGACTCTGGATCTTTGAAGGGAGTATCCTTTGCACCCACTTTGGGGACCCCTCCTACACCCAAAAGAGAGTTATTCTAACAGAAATATTTACTCTTTGTCCCAGCTGAAAACTGACAAGATTTTTTAAAGGCTTTTTTTTTAAAGTAGCTCTGTAATCAAAAGTTGCCCAAACTGTGGCCTAATAGGAATTGAGGAGCTGATAGGAATTTTGCTTTTTTAGATTTTCTCCCTTAACTTAAAATAAAACTATGTATCCAGAGGGAAAGAAGCAAATGGAGGAGAATGTAGTTGGGGGGAGTAGATCAACCTGTGATGTCATTTAAGTTACTACCCAATTCCTTGAGGAATTGAGAACAACTGTCCTTATGAACTTTGGCAAAACTAGAAATATGACTCCAGAAACTGTTCAAAGTTAACGTGTCATTTTGTCAATTCCAAGCCTCCCCTCTTTAGCTCAAAAGTTTTGTTAAGTATTGTCTTAGGAAACTAAAGTCCTTGGAGAAACTTGACTGTGCTTTTATGCAGATTTTAGGGAGATGTTTCGCATTAGGAAAAAGGAGAGGGGAGATGAAGTATTTGGAAACTGGATGAATGAAAATCGTCTCCAGATATTAGTAACCATAGGTCTCTATTTGTGTCTATGTGTTTATATATGTGTGTGCTGTGGGTGTGTGAGATTTTTCTACCTCTGGAGGTATTGCTAAAATTAATTTGTAAAAGAGCTCCATTTAAGTTGGTTTGAAGACAAGTGCTTGTAAGGATTGGCTATTCTAAAATTCTCAGAAATATAAAAACTAACCGAAATGTTTTTCAGATTTATGTGCTCTGGGAAAGTCTTTGTTATTAAAGCTAATTTAATGTTGCTGGTTTAATTAAAACAGATACGTCTTCAGAGTTACCAGCATTAACATAAAAACTTTTATTCTGCCTAGATTTACGTAAGCCAAGTAAGTTGATATTACCTCGGTAATGAAACGTTTTTTTAAAAAAAATGGCTCGGGAGAGTGACTGAATTTGTCTGATGTCTCATGAAATTTTTATTGGTATTCTAAACAAAATTAAGGACAAGAACACTGGATAGCTGTAAGTAAGATAAAAAGGTGTTAAACTTTTAAACTAGCTTCTTCCAAGATATTTTTGGTGACCTGAAGCCTTAAAGTTTTTGTTAAGTGATGGATTAAGTTAAATTCATTTAATATCTAGATTATTTCCAAGTAAGATAAAATACTAGAACATTACTTGCTAAACAAGTCTAAGGGTACCTACTTTTGTCTGCTTATTACAGAGAAACTAAAGATAAATTTGGGTCTGTTGTAAGTATGTTTTGTGCTTTATTGAAAGATTGTACTATGGAGAAGCAAGTTTTGAGAAATTATGAAATATATTCATAAATTTGCCAATGTAAAGAATGCTGGTGTAACACTCACAATTGCTTGGTATTTAGTTTTCACTAGAAATTAAGGTTTCTAGAAGTTAAGAATTCCAATTAATATATGTGGTTAAAATTACTAGAAATAATAAAGGAAATATCTCTATATGCAAGAAAAGTAGGATGTGTACTTTTGGTAAAAGAAGGTATGAGGAATGGAAATGCATTTTTACTAAGGAAAAAGAAAGTCATTTTGTCCTAATGTGAAGCTGGTTAAAGAGGAAAACACAGGACAAAATCTGAATGTAGAAGGTTTAGGAAAAGGAATTTTAATGTGTTGTCAAGCCAACTAAGATTAAAATGAATTTATTTAAGAATAGATTTTAGTATCAAAAGTACACTGGTGCAAATTAGAACTTGGTTTTCTCTCTATTAAAGGACAAAGTTTTCTTGGACAATTGGTCTGCTCTTGATAATAAGAGATTGTGAAGGGTTTTTCTTTACCCTTAAAGTAATTGCCTAAAAAACAAAAGTCCGTGTTTTGTCAAAATAATTTCCTGTGCTTCATGGATTTCTTTATCATTAGATCTTTGATTACCTAAGAAAATGGAATCTTCTTTTTTTTAATCAAAGTATCATTGATATACAGTCTTACGATGGTTTCACATAAACAACACAGTGGATTCAACATTCACCCATATTGTCAAGTCCTCACCCCTTTATTTCAGTTACTGTCTATCAGCGTAGTAAGACGCTGTGGAGTCATTACTTGTCTTCTCCGGGCTACACTGCCTTCCCTGTGACCTACCTATACTGTGATTGTGAATTATAGTGCCCCCTTCTCCCTCCCCACCCACATTCCCCAACCCCTCCCCTTTGGTAACCACTAGTCCCTTCTCATAGTCTGTGAGTCTCCTGCTATTTTGTTCCGTCAGTTTTGCTTTGTTCTTATGCTCCACAAATGAGTGAAGTCATCTGGTACTTGTCTTTGTCCATCTGGCTTATTTCACTGAGCATAATACTTTCTAAATCCATCCATGTTGTTGAAAATGGTAGGATTTCTTTTCTTTTTATGGCTGAATAATATTCCATTGTGTGTATGTACTACAAAAAATGTAGTCTTTTTAATATTAAAAGAACTAAGTTTTGCTCCCAACTATGTAACCTTCTGTATTTGCCTTTAAAATACTCTGTTGTCACTTTGGTTAAATGGATAATTAAGTTTTATAATGACCTATGATCCTATTCAGGCAAGTGTTTTAAAACCTTTTTAAAACTAATTTTGATAAACTTTCCAAAATCAAATTCTACATAAAGTTCTTTTTACCTCTAGTTAACCCTGAGATTTTTCAGATGGTCCCTAGATGTTTTTCTCCTAATGAGAGATGTTAAGCTAATTAGGCTAGATTATGTTTGTGTAGAAATATGTTATTAAAATAAGTGTTCTAGAAATTATAAGAAACTCCTAGAAATCTGATATGTCCTGGTATGTTATCACTTCTAATTATGGTCATTAAAATGTTATCTTACAGAAATAATCAAATTCTCTTGTCAATTGCATTATAATGAACTCAAATCTTTAACCATGGCCATTTTTAAGCCCTTTATAATCTACAGACAGTTGTTATTTTATTCTGCTGTTTTTGCAAGTGTGTTTCACTGTCAGAGAGATTCATGGAAAGGACTTTTGACAAATACAGGTTTCTGATGACCTTAAGATCATTAATCTGAACTGGGTTAGAATTTACAGAACTAGTGAGGAAACTGGATTCAAGCAGAATAAGAATGAATAACATGACACTGAATGAACTGAGGAGGATGTTGATCATTTTTCTGACATCTTATTTAAAACACTGCTGGTTCTCTAATGTTTACTTTTCCAGATTTAAGGGAACTTTTTCCCCAAAGCTATCTATGCACGACTCACGCAATACGGTAAAATACACCTTTGCAAACAAATATGAGACATTTGTCTTTTCCTCCCTAACTGATGCCTCCAGAATTCAGAAACTCCAGGATGTATTCTTATTTTTATGGCAATATAGTTACTTGCATAAGTTCAATAAGAATCTTTTCTCCTTGTAACAGGATACAATTAGAAACCTTGGTTATATTACCAAAGCTTTGACTGGAATGTGATACTTAAGAGAGAGACACGTGGATTCAGGTATGACCAGGCATCTTCAAGGAACTAAAATTGACTTTACGGAGCCCACGAAGCCCTCAGGAAAACCAGCCTGGTACCTTACCTCCAGGGCTCCCAGCAGCTTTACCAGGTGAGTAAGCATGTCCTCTTCCTGGCAGTTGCAGGAACCTCAGGATATTTTGTGAACCTCAAGAAGAGAGAAATTCACCCAAATCTACAGCTCTTGCAGTGGAATTATGACAAGTCCTTGGACTGGCTTTCCTGGCCTTGAGAGGCCTTTAAAAGTTCCTTATGAAAAGTTCCAGCAAAGCAGATTTTAAAAAGCCTCTGTGTTGTCCATCGCTATTCTTGCTGAACTTATTTAAATTATCAGGCCACATTTACTGAAACAAGACTTGGTGTACAGACAAACGTCTTGCTGTGGTTATCTTTGATAAAATGAGGGTGATTTGTTTTTTGGATATTATGTTATCTTTTTGGATATTAGATTCTAGGTCTGATTAACTGTCTTTGAGTGTTTATTGTTTGCCTGTAAACTGCACTGGATCCTGAATTCTTCTGGCTTCCTCAAGTATCTGGCTATGACCCCAAACGAACATCTCCAATTTACTCCCATCCTTCTGACTTGAAGTCATTGAGAACCAAAGCTGCCTTTTTCCTGAAGCCCTGCAAACTGAAGTTAGGAAACTTGATATAAACTTTAGAGAAATCACCACAACAGCCCATGTTTAGACCATCTTTGTGCCTGTTGCTCTGTGGGACACTCAGGAACATTCAAATAGCAAGCCAGGGAAATCCATCAGATTGCCACTGTCTGTCATCACTCTATCTGAAGATGCCTGAAACCTGACATCTAGAAATCCTCCCCCTAGCAACACCCAGGACTCAGACATTGGGTTTATAATTTGCTCCAACCATTAACCTTTGTTTTTCTTTTGTTTCCATAGAAATGCCTCTTATTAATTACGTGACTGCTTGCATAATATAGTCCTAACTTTGGAAGCCCACCTGCAAGACCACCTCCTGTTTAACTGAACTGACCTAATCCCAGGACCAAGAGGCTGCTTCAACAACACTGAACAATCTGCTTGCTCAGTTTTTAATGTGAGACTTCCTGGGAAGTTTCAAAGGAGGGAAATGTGGGGGCCAAAGGCAGGCCACCCCCAAATGTGTCTCTTTGGCATGTGGACTATTTTGAACTGAAGGCAATGAAGACTCTGAAGGTTCAAGAGAAGATTTGGCTCCTCCCCTAACTGCCTAGAAAAATCTAAATAAAGTTCTTTTTCAAAATAAGGGTTATTGCCAGAGATGAATTTTTTCCCAGTGACCCATCTGTGTGGTGGTGCTAATGTCTGCTTTTTATTGCCCTTTGAATCACTCTCCTCTCCTTTGAAGCCTCAGGCTCCTACCCCATTCCTTAACTCAGGATGCCATATATACCTCATTTTACCTTTCTATCTTCGGATTTTTCATGTATGTGGAGTTCCTGTATGTACAAAATTTAATTTGACTTTCTTCTGTGAATCTGTCTCCTGTCAATTTGATTCTAGACCAGCAAGAAGAACTGTGAAAGGTAGAGGAAAATGTTTCCTTCCCAACACGCTCTTCACTCAGATTTAACACTTTTTTGGCCATATTTGTTTCACCTATTTTTTTTTCCTGCTTAAGGATGTTCAAGTAAGAAAATCAAAGAAGCTAATAAAATATTTTCACCCTTAAATACTTCAATAGGTATCTCTTCACAACATAGTTGTTTTCCTAAAGAGCTACAATAATACTTAAGAATATTAACAAGTATCTTTTCTTCACTCAAATTTCTTTCACTACCCCAAAAATGACTACATTGGATGGATTGTTTAAACCAGAATCCAATTGAGGACCCAAATGGAAATTGACTGTTAAGTGTCTTAAATATTTTTAAGCTAGAACAGATCTCCACTGGCCTCTTTGTTTTATGTTTATTTGTGTTTTCACTGACTGATTTGAAGAACTCAGTCCAGTGTCTTGTTGACTGTGCCTGTTTCCTGGTGGTGTTTCTTAACCGGTTCCTTTAGTCGTCCCTGCATTTCCTGCAAATTGGAAGTTAGCTCTAAAACCTTGATTAAATTTTAGGTCAATATTTTGGCAATAATTTCTTCCAGGTAATCCTGACTCTGCCCAGTCCATTGCCTCAGGAGGCAAAGAGTGTTGGTCCTGTTAGTAGAAATCCTCGATCGAAGAAAGGGTTAAGATGATGCCCTCATTGCAACTGCATTTTCTTCCTTAGACCAGTCATTTCCCCTAGAGCCATGTTACCTAATAGTTTTAACATCCACTAAAGCTCCTTGCCTGAATCAATGATTTCATTAGGGATTGCAAGAAAAAGGGTGTTTTTCTAATGATATTTCCTTGACATTTATTAGCTGGCATGACTGTGAAGAAGAGCTTTTCCTCATTAGCTGGGGCTTTTTGGTTATCCTGAAACTGGAACTACTGGTTCCTACTGGAGGCAGGAAAACTGCTGAATCTTTTGGCTTTAGTTACCAGTTCTCAGAGTAAGAAGTTAGTATAACAACTTTGTGGGATACCACAGTCCCCCCTTATCCATGGGGGATACATTCCAAGACCCTCAGTGGATGTCTGAAACTGTGGGTAGTACCAAACCCTTTGTATATATACTATGTTCTTCCTTCCACATACATTCCTATGATAAAGTTTAATTTATAAATTAGATACAGTAACAGACTAGCAATAACTTGTAACAAAATAGAACACTTATAACCATACTTTGTAATAAGTTTGGTGCATGTGGTCTCTCTCTCTCTCTGTCTCTCTCTCTCTGTCTCTAAATACCTCATTGTTCTGCACTCACCGTCCTTGTGATGACGTGAGCTGATAAAATGCCTGCGTGATGAGATGGAGGGAGGGGAGTGACGTGGCCGACATGACGCAGCTTTAGACCACTACTGACCTGAGGATACGTGAGGAGGATCATTTGCTTCTGGACCAAGGTTGAGGACAAGTAACTGAAACCGCGGGAAGTGAAACAGTGGATAAGAGGGGACTGCTTTAATAACAAAGTGCTTAGCTCTTTTTTTAAGTACCATTATGGCTGCTGCATTTTTTATGTATTCGGTGTTACATATGCGATTACAGCCTTTATTCTTGTTTGGTGCTCAAATTGGTGCAGCTTTGGCCAGTGGGAGCCCTCCAAATGGCTTCCGTGTCCGACGCATCTCTACGGTTTGCGCCTCATTTCCCCTCTCAGGCACAAGTTGATGTCTTGCATTTCCTTGACTCTTCCCATCCCAGTCCTGAAAGCTGCCTTTTCTGTGAGACTTCAGGTTCCTTTACCAAATATTTAAAAGAGAACATGCAAGTTAAATAAACCACGTTCCTTGGCCAGACGCAGCCCACAGTCTGCTAGTTTGGCACCTCCATTTTTATATTTCTGTAGTTTAATGCCACAAAACACAGGCAGCTGAGCATCTCTGTGTTTTCTGCTGTTGCCCTTATTTTTTGATCACCCTTTTTTAACCATAATACACATCTGTACAGGAACCAACTGTCCATTAACTAGTATGCTCACTCTAGCCTGTGTGTGTCCTAATTCATTACAGAACTCCAGGGAACAATTTTCTAATCATCTAGGCTTGCCTTGTCAGCACTGAGATCTGGTTTGCCCTTCCTGAGGACCAGTGGTAAGGAGCAGGGCCTTGGAAATTGGCTTTCTCATCCAATGTTATTGAGAGTGTAAATTTGTATGACTTTTCAGGAAGACAGCATAGTGTATCACTCAGGACTCCTTCACTTACAAGTGGGAGCAACCCATATGAAAGTAGCTTAACAAAAAAGGGTATTTACTGACTCAATTAACTGGGATGATCTAAGGAGGGGTGGCTTCAGGCATAGCTGGATCTGGGGGCTTGGTGAGGTCATCACGGCTCTGACTTTCTATTTCTTGACTCTGTTTCCCTGGGTGTGGTGGCTTTATTCTCATTAGACTCTATCTACATGGCAGGGAAGTTGATTTGACCTCTTATAGCCTCAAGCCTACATCTTTGCAGCTTCCAATCCAAAAAGAAGAGAAAGACCCTCTCTCACACCAAACCTTCATATCAAGTCTCAGGGTTAACTCTCTCTGGATCATATGCCCATCTCTAAACTGAACACATGGCCAGGGCAATAGAGTTCTCTGGCCACCTCGAATGACATGTTCAACCCTATAGAGGAGAGGTGTCTAGTGGTTGACAGCCCACAAGGACCACAGAGAGTTGGGAAGATGTGGTTCCCTAAAGGAAAAACAAATGCTGTTATTAGAAGGAGGGAAGAATTCAGAGCAGACAAGCACATCAGATGTCCAATACATTTGGCAAATAAAGTTCACAAAGGCTTTAAAAGAGACTACCTCTGCCATCCAAAAGACTAATTCCACTCCTAAGAATTCATGCCCTCCTCCAAAAAAAAGAAAAGATCATGGACAAGGGCACATTTGTGCCCAAGGATGTTTCAAATCACAGTGCTGTTCATAAGAACAAAATATTTGAAGAACCTAAGTGTCTACCAAGAGGGGATTCATTAAATGATTTAGTGCATGTCCATGTTACTGGGGTGCCAAGCAGCTGGTGAAAATGGTTATTTTCTTGTATTTCATGACAAAGAAACACCCTCCATGATACACTGTTCAGTGGAAAAGGTGGGTTACAAGACAACACATATATTATACTCTAATTTTTTTTAATTGGGTATGGACCCATTAAGAAATAAACATTGTGAAGAACCTTAATAGAGGCTATGTCTGGGTGATTATTTCAATTCATTCAATTTGCTTATCTATATTTTCTCTGGTAAGCAAGTACTGCATTTCAATAAGAAATTTTTTTGGAAAATAAACTAGGATAAACACATAAGGACACTCAAAGAAGCGATATAACAAATAAGGAAACAAGAACTGGGTGGATCTAGGACCACACCCACAAGGTCAAAGATGCTCAGGCACAAGGACACCAGAACCAGAGGTGCCTGTGGGGACGTGGTGCACCTGCTCATCAACTCGGACTCTCGCAGTATTCCCTGTCATCTTTGCTATTCACAGTTGTGACACTCACCGCGGGGTGGGGATGGGCAGGATAGCTGACCAGCACAGGCTGTCCCTGACCCTTGGCTGAAGTCATCTTCATGTTTATCTTTGAGAGCCTTTTGCCTTCCTGCCCTGCCCATGCCTGCCCATGAAGAGAGCTTCTCCCTGGCCAGCCCTGTCCCCATCCCAGCCCCTTCCTGTTCCGTCAAGAGCAGCTCAGGCTGGTCCCGTTGCTCTTAGGTTACTGAGCAGTCACCCAACCTGGTAGTTAAAACCAGAAGGCCAGGAGGCAGGGTGGTGCCACAGTGACCTAGGAGCCTCCCTTTGGCCTCTTGCCTTGAAGCTCAGGTCCCAGCACTGGCTCAGCAGATGCCAACCCACCTTTATTCCCTCTGCTTCCCTTGCCAGTGTCTTCCAGCTCCCAACCAAAGTTAGCCTTTGCACAGTGCCTGATGCTTGGTGCTCAGCTCCCAGCACTGACTCAGTAGATGCCACCCCTCCTCTATTTCCCAGCTCTTCACTCCTAGACCTCTTGGCAGTCCCAGGATTCCTGATGCAATAGAAACATTCACTGTGACTCTTGTGACCTTAGCACAGCTCAGAGCTGTGAGTCTGCAGGTCCCCTCTCCTGTGGGGGCAGATGCATTCCTAGTGGGGTGGGGCCTCCAAATTAGCTCCAGCCAGCCAGCTCTTTGGGCCATGACTCTGTTAGGGAGGGTGCAATCCTGCCCACACCCCTCAATTGTCTGGGGTCTCCATTCCTTCCCACCCTTCCATCCAGGACCCCACGGTTTCCCTGAGCCTCTCTAAGCCCCTCCAAGTATAGTGAGGGGCATTTGAGACCCTTCCTCAAAAGTGAGGCTACTGCCTCTCAGGCAGTGCATGTGGCTGAGGGTCACATCAGGGCAGCAGACTCAGGCTCTGTGCAGCACAGCTGGCTTCAGAGACGGAGTTTGATCCTATAAGGAGTTCCAGCCCTGCTCAGCAGCCCCTGTGCCCCCTGCTGCTTCAGCCCATGTCCTGATGGGCTTCTACGAGGAACCTTGGCTGTCTCCCCAGGGGACCTTCCTTTTTCCTTGGGTTCTCACATCAGTGAATGGACTGAGGGTTAGTGTTCCAGAACATTTCCATAGGACCCAAGGCAGGGGAGCTCTGGGCTTTGTGAAGTCCTGATAAAGC